AAAGCCATGTTCTGCATTACTCGCAAGCATATCTAATATGAGATCATCATAATTCATTAACCTTTCCCCCCAGGCCCTCGAAAGCCAGGTGGGCTACCCATCCATCACGCGTCCCACTAACAGTTCCATCTCCATCTTTCCCCCTCAATCAATCCCGTCGATACATGATATCCGTCCTCATCGTATACTTGACCCCGCGTATCACCGGATCCCCACCATGCAGCAAATCATTCTGCTGAAACACCAGCACCGACCCCGTCCGAGGAAAGATGCGCAGATGGCGCTCCTTCTCCTCAAACCGAGGCAGAAAGGAGGTCGCACCGCCCAGCAGAGGCCCCTTCGTATTCAGATTCACAACACCCTCGCCTCTCTCCACCCGCTTCATCTCCCGCATCAGCTCCGCGCGATCCTGCTCCCCATCCCCATTCAGATAGAGGTGGACCGTGTAGTACGAGGTCTCGCGCCCGTCCGGCGTCCGGTAGCGGCCATCCCAGTGCGGTCGGAAGTATTCCCCCCCTTCGTATTTCAGGAAGCGCAGTCGCTCGTTGAGGCGGGTGAGTCGGTAGACGGCGTTGCGACCGGCCAGGCCTGTCACCCGGGGCTGGTGGTCGATCACCTCGATGCCCCCCAGCTCCTGCAAGAAGGGCCGTAGCCGGGCCAGCAGCTTGTCCGCCAGTTCAGGCGAGTCGTAGATAATCCGCCCGCAGTTGCGTGTGTCCACCGCGAGCGCCTGTTTGCCGTTCCCCAGGTTGATCATGGCGCGCTCCCAGGTGGGTTCGCGGGCGGCGGTCCGGTCCCCGGCCTTCGTTGACGGGACGGTGCTGGCCTCGGCTAGACGAAGAAGCTCGTCGCATTCCTCCTTGGTGAATGCATTGTCAATGACTGCAGCGCAGAGGTCCTTGTATTCGGGCAGCGGTGGGTCGGATTGGGTAAAGTCGATGCGATGGCATTGAGCGTTGGCCGGGGGTTGTGCGGGGAGGAATTCCGCCTTTGTTCGCCAAGCCATAACGAGTTCAGCGCAGAAGATCTTTGGTGGTTTTTTTTTTCCGGAGTGAGCTGGATGTATGGGCCTAGATTATATAGAGTCAATCGAAGAAATTCTTGGAAAGTCAGGGCGTAAGGGGCAGAGTCATTTTGAAGAATGACCCTCAAGTGAGGCTTAAAAGGTTAGCACTGTTCGGGACCCCGACTCAGCCTCGTGAGCAGGCAGCGAAGGAAATCATACAATACAGTGGGGGCTGAGACTTGAGCTGACGAAATAATGGCCCTCCTACAGCAAGAAGTACTGAGATTCTGACTGTTCAAGTCCATAACATACACAAAGAGCAACAAAGACAATTGGTAGGATCATTTGTCCTGCTCGGCTAATCTCAAAATTCATGATGTCTCGGGGTAGCGCCAAAACAATACAACAATGCTTAACACTCGAGCCGGACTTTTCTTATTCCGCCCTACTGCACGACTGAGTTGTATCACATAACCTCTCCAAGTCTCATAGCATTGCGCTCTTCAGGGTCGCCAGTGCTGAAGGTATGACTGCACGTAGAACTTCAAGAACAATAGCATCAGGAACAGAACAAACCCACATCCAAGGCACACCGCATAAGCCTCAGTACTATCTCTGATGCATCTTCGTGTCTTCAAGTCCCGAGACTGCGGTTCTTTTGGGCCCCGCGGTGTTATAATGTAAGGGGTGTTCTGCGGTTGATCACGTCGCTCAAGATGTGAACCAGAAAAGGGAACATCATATTCAACAAGGACGGACGACAAGCCTAATAAGCTACCGACGAAGAACTGCATGATTTGGAGCAGCGTCAATGAAGCTTTGGTCGAGAGGAGAACGGGGACGCGCAACGCAGTCATGCTGTAATATGTATACTTTCCGTCGCCATATTAGCATATGTGGCAGGGTATTATGATTATTCGACGTGACCGTACTGACCATCACGGTGTGCACAGCCGAGTTGAATAGGATGGCGATTATCGTGGCTGAAGCGATAAATCGCACTCCCACACAACCCCAGAAAATGACGCCAGCATGGTGGTATATGTGCAAAGTCGAAGCCTGGCGACCTTTGGCAAGAATGATCACGGTGTCAAGTGGCTCATATAGCTTCGACAAATAGAACAGCCAGGAGATCAACTTCAACCTCGACGCATATGGTTCGTACCCTGGAAACTGACCCCCATGGCATACAATGTCCGCCGCCCGGCTCATGTACAATTCGTCTTGCTTGTCCGGCCATGCGGAAAAGAGTGTGTTCAGCATAGCGGCGAATGTCCAGGCCGAGAAAGCTGTTAGAATTAGATTGTGTAGTATCACTATGTTGGGAAAGACTTTTGTGCGACTGATTGCCCACGGTTTCCGTTCTCTGGCATTGATCTTGTTGAAACATATCACAAGCAAAATGTACAATATGCTTATCGTGGTTGCAAACCGCAAGTCTGTCGAGACTGTGTATAAGGATGGAGAAAGCTGGTAATTTCCGAAGCAGAGTGCTGATTCGGGAAAAGGAAGGGAATGGCCCGAGCCTGGAAGAGCGTCAGGATACTTAAATAGGGTGGAGGGTGGTAGGGTAAATCGAATAGCCTGTTGCGCCAGCATGACAGCAGACAAATGAACGATAGCAACACAGATCAAAGAGCGAGCGTGGTAGTCTTAGTGATATCAAGAGCCCCTTGATGCGCAGGCCGCATGCACCTAGTCGGAGCTTGTTGATGATCGCTCACTCTGTATTGAAACCAACCCTCTGTGCTAAAAGAGACAAGATACCTGTAGTGCTTATGAATTGCTGTTGGGCACCATCAAGGCAAGACCTCAATCACGTTCTGATAGGAATCAGGGATTGTTTGTTGGGAGTTGGAGTCCGCCCGAGCCGGAAGCTGACCCTGGACTTTCGACCGAATGTTCATCTCATGCCTTGGCAAGACTTCAGGTGACTGCTCATTCTTCACCACAGTGCTCTGGGAGCAGAGTCACAGTTCTAGGCCTACACTATACTATATACAAATTGATTTCCTTCATTTTGGCCCCTTTACGGTGAAAGCTTGCATATGAAAAGCCCATACTCGCCAGACCCGGCATTGCGCCTAAAAGATGATATTTTCAATGTGGTAGGTGGTATGCCCTCTCGAAGACCAACACTGCTAGAGTTCGACTCAAACTTGACCATCAAAGCTGGTTGAAGAGCTCCCTGGGTTTGTTCTGGGGCTACCATTGGCTACCTTAAGGACACAGGTTCAGGGACACAGGTATAAATCCCAGAGAAGTCCATCGGGACACACACCGATTTCGTCCTACCCTACTTGATCGACGAACCAACGATCGTCAATATGGCTCGCTATACTAGCGAATCGGAACGTTCGATGTTGATAGGCGTTGCTTTCCATATCAAACGAGGACTCTCATTTGCTGTGTCGAGGCGGTACATGAGCAAGGTCCGTGAAATAACTCCAGCGGCCGTGGTCACATCAGGTCAACATAGGCTGGTGGTTTTGGGCAGTCATCAATTCTCGGAGCTGACAGATTGTTTTTATTGAAGGCCTTCAGCCAATTTGATGACGATGAGTGAGAGCTCTATGAACATGATCGAATGCCATTCTTCCTTATCCTCGACGACCATCAACTCTGAATTTGTCATCTGTCGCAATTACTGCAGTGGGAAGTATGGAGGAAATCAACACAGTCCCCGATGATGATCAAAAGAGAAATCTCACTAGAGAGCCGATGACTAGACGAAGCTGGTACAAGCATTTGGATTGGTGGGGAATCACCTTTACAATGATCGTTCCTCTCTACGGCTTGTACCAGTTCTGGAAGACGCCTCTGCACCCGAAGACATTCATTTTTGCGGTAGTATTCGGCCATATTTCGGGATTTAGCATTACTGCGGGTAGGTAACACATTCCACATTATGGCTGGAATCACCATTACTGACACTGCGTGAAACATGCTAGGTTATCATCGACTCTGGGCCCATGCATCCTACCGTGCTACCACACCACTGAAAGTTTTCCTCGCTATTTCAGGAGGCAGTGCCGGCCAGGGCCCGATAGAATGGTGGGTGCGCAGTCACCGTACGCATCACCGATACACCGACACAGCCAAGGATCCATACTCTGCCCACAAAGGACTTCTATATTCCCACATGGGATGGATCCTGCTCAGGAGGGATGCCAGGATCTACCACGGAATAGACATGTCTGATATCAACGATGACTTTGTGGTCCGGTGGCAACGTCGCTACTATGGCGGCATCTTGCTGGCCATGGTGTTCTTTTTCCCAGCCGCAGTCTGTGGCCTCGGCTGGGGCGATTGGAAAGGCGGCTTTGTCAATGCCGGTATCATCCGAATGTTTGCAGTTCAACAGGCTACATTCTGCGTGAACTCGCTAGCCCACTGGATGGGGGAGCAACCATTTAATGATAGAAACTCTCCCCGCGATCACCTGGTCACGGCTATCATTACACTTGGGGAGGGATACCACAATTACCACCATGAGTTTCCTACGGACTACCGCAACGGAGCGGGCCGGTGGCAGTGGGATCCAACTAAGTGGGTGATCTGGCTGTGGGAGCAGATGGGTCTTGCTTACGACCTGAAACGTTTCTCTACACATGATGTTGACAAGTGCCGTCTGCGACAGACGCAAAAGAACCAGAAGTCGCACATGGACAGGGGGTTTCTTTGGAGGACTTGCCAAGAGTCTCATGGAAGGACTACTTAGTGCAAGCGAGAGACGGCAGGCGCGCACTGATTGCTATTGATGGAGTGGTCCATGATGTATCGAGCTTTATACCAGAGCACCCTGGAGGCAGTATGTTACTCAAGGATGCCATCGGAAAAGATGCCTCTGAGATGTTCATGGGAGGAGTGCACCTGCATTCTAAAATGGCGCATATGAAGCTTGCTGCCTTGAGAGTAGCCGTCATTCGTGAAGCATAATGATTAACAAGCAAATAGCATAGTGGGAACAAGCCAGGTGAGCGCAATAGCTCCAGGAGACTTGAGAGCCTTTCAATGCCCGGAGAATTTTTCTCTTACAACGTTCACCCAGCTGGGCTCAGGAACATCCTCCCCAATCGAATGCGTCTGAGGGACTTGCTCTAAATGCTTTTGTGGTCGGTACCTGTTCGCCTATTGTGGCCGGTGTACCCTCGAGTACAGGATCAAGTTAAGACTGAGTTATTCTGAACCTAAAATTCCATAAATACCTTAGACAGTACCAAATGATTTTATCCAAGCCACGAGCCACGAAACACGGTACCTATGGCGATCGGTAGTGTAGGGCGTGCCACCGATGACCCACAGGGCGCGCCGCTCAATGTCACCCCCAGGGCGTGCAGACACGCCCTACTCAAGACACACCGATAACGGACCTTGAAACTGAATAAAGCTACGACCAGTATGTATATATATGCATTGAAAGAGGATTGAGTAACAGAGCACGCCAGTGCGTTGCGAATCACCGCTTGAACTCTCCCCATCACCATCATCACCATGGGTTTCTCACAGCCGCTCGACGCCTCTCGACTGACCTATACACTCACAGCAACTCCACGCGAGGTACCAGACACCCAAACCCTGAGCAGCGTGCGCCAGACAATATGCACCGATCACATGATTACCGCGTCCTGGAACGCCGAGCACGGCTGGTCTGCGCCGGAACTCAAGCCCTACGGTCCTCTGAGCCTTGAACCCAGCGCCTCGTGCCTGCACTACGCGTACGAATGCTTCGAGGGCCTCAAGGCCTACCGCGGCCACGACGGAAAACTGCGAATGTTCCGCACCGACCGCAACACCCGCCGGCTGCTAATGTCCGCCCAGCGCATCTCCCTCCCCGAGTTCGACCCGGACGAGCTCGAGAAGCTCATCTACACATTGCTCTCCGTCGACGGGGCCAGATGGCTTCCCCGCAATCGCGCGGGCTCCTTTCTGTACGTGCGCCCGACCATCATCGGGACGGACGCGCAGCTCGGCGTCGCGCGGCCGACGGAGGCCCTCCTCTACATCATCGTCGGCTACATGGCTCGCCTTGACTCGCCGGCCGGGGGCAAACGCCTGCTCACCAACCCGGACGACACGGTGCGCTCCTGGGTCGGCGGATTCGGATACGCGAAAGTGGGCGCCAACTATGGGCCAGCCGTGCTGGCGACCCAGGAGGCCTTCCGGCAGGGATACCATCAGATCCTGTGGCTGTATGGGCCGGACGGATCCTGCACGGAGGCCGGCGGGAGCAACTTCTTTGTGGTTTGGAAGCGTCCGGAGGATGGGAAGAAGGAACTTGTCACGGCCCCGTTGGATGATCGGCTGATCCTAGATGGGGTCACCCGCCGCAGTTGTTTGGAGTTGGTGAGAGAGCGGCTGAAGGGCGAGGTGGAGGTCTCGGAGCGGAAGTTCACCATCGGAGATCTTTTGGCGGCGGCGGCGGAGAACCGTCTCCTGGAGTCGTTTGCTGCTGGTACAGCGGTGAGTCTTTTGCGTTGTGTTTATTCCTGTGTATCGAAAATTCTGCTGATTTCGTTAGTGGTTCATTACTCCTATCTCGTTGGTTCACCACCGTCAACAAGACATTCACATCCCAACTGGACCGGATGGAACACCGGGTGACATTACGGGCAAGCTCAAGGGATGGTTGGGGGATATGATGTATGGGCGAGTAGAGCATGAATGGGCAAGAGTCGTGGCTGAGAGGCGGGAGAACAATGCATAGTCGCGAGTTATGCATACTAGAGCCCGGGTGGTTCTGATATTAGGTAGGTAATAGACAATACAAAAATATCCTTAGGATCCTCTAGATCACTGCTAGATATTGATCAGATGTACGTGTATAACGACCTGAGTGAACAAATCACATAGTAGAGAAGAGAAGTTACCGTATACTTCAAGTCTCGTGATCATCCACTCGCAATGAATCATCCGCTTGGCCCAACCCACCAAATGCTTTTTCTTTGCCGCCACTCGCCCCTCTAAATCCATCTAAAACCCCACTTCGAAACACCCATTGAGCGATGTCCAAGCCTGCGTCAGTAATGAGATGGCTGCTTTCAGAAGCCGAGACTCGACCTGCTACGATCTTTCGTGCTCAAATCTCGCAACTGGAGATGATACCCAGCTACCTCAAGTTGATACTGCACTCGATTCCACTGACCGCTTTGACATTTCATACATGTTAACGGGGCTTGACTCACCAGATTCCTGGTGGCCGTTTGTTGAAACGGACGCCAATACCAGCATTTTCCCACTTGAGAGTGAGAGCCTACCAGCGCATGAGAAATCGGTTGATGCCACACCCATGAACAATCATGACGACTTCACTGCAGGAGATATCGACTATGCCGGCCTGGGGGACTACGCATTCCTACAGCCCCCTATGATACAATCGAGCCAAAAAAAATCAGCTGAATTATGACAGTTCACAATCGTCTATAAGGCCATCTCTACTTGCCAATGTTGGAACCAGGGAAACCACTTCAAGCCCCTCCGCTCCAAGATACTCAACGAGATCTCAGCGAGGGCTTCCTCGTCGAAGGAGCAGATATCGCATCCAGGAGATTGATCGATGAGCAGCTGCAACCTTCGTACCACCTGTTTCAGGCCCAGCCGATCCTCTAGAACGCTGGAAGAATTCTCCACCTGAAGCAGAAGCGGCCAGCTTATCAGCCATTCAAAATGCTCTCGAGAATGTGCCGACGGATTCAGGCGCGAGCCGAGGGCCTGCGCTGGGTCCGCACCTGGATGATCGGTTTCGAACGCCTTGCCGTGCAGCTTCCCGAGCAGCTTCGACGATAAGTGGCGATAGTGTCACCAGTGCGTCCTCCTATCGCTTCAACCGATCTCACATATCTGTTCGATCCCATGGCAGCCAGTCCGGCTCTGATAGGCCAACTGCTGGGATCCAAAAGAAACAGGGGAGCATAGGCAGAAAGAAGAGGAGTTCGGCCAACAACCCTCGCATATTTTGCTGCACGTTCTGTTGCGATAAGTTCAAGAGCAAATATGACTGGGTGCGCCACGAGAAGTCCCTTCATCTGGACCTGGAGAACTGGTCGTGTGCGCCGTTTGGGGGCTCTGTCAACCTGCCATCCACAGGCCGCACCCACTGTGCCTATTGCAATCAGCTGGATCCAACCCCCACCCACCTCGAGCAGCACAATCATGGAGCCTGTCAGCAACAAACGCGGACCTTCCGGCGGAAAGACCACCTGTTCCAGCATCTGCGCCTTGTCCACCGCCTGGAAACCATGCCACTGACCGACGGTTGGAAGAATGTGGCCACGAACTTCTCGTCACGTTGTGGATTCTGCGATAGTCGGATGACCAGCTGGGACGATCGAGCTGATCATTTAACCATGCATTTCCGCCAGGGCTGTACCATGGCCCAGTGGAAAGGCGACCATGAGTTCCCGCCGGACATCGCCGCACAATTGAGACACAGCGTGCCTCCGTATCTGCTCGACTTTGAGTCCCGGACCTTTGTTCCCTCCTCTGCCACAAACGGTGCTGTCAATGATCATCTCTCTCAGATGCTCTCCCGGGCCAGCTTTCGAAATGCACTGGGCGAGCCTAAGACGCCTCCGGACTCGGAAGCTCCGCAGCCGGAGTTGCCACCAGCCCCCGAGCCTCAGTTGGATTGCTACACTGAAGTGCTAACTCGCCACCTGAGTCATTATGCACGAGAGATGATGAGCAACGGGGTGGTCCCGACGGACCAGATGTTCCAGTCAGAAGCGAGGCGTATGATGTTTGGTTATGAAGACCAATGGGACCAAACATTGGCTGATGTTCCAGAATGGCTGGCTAAATTTCGCCGAGAGCAGGGCAACGATGGGACCCTGCATGCATAGGGATATTTTCCTTGGATCCGGTAATTTTACCACAGTTATCGGCAGTTGAACGGTACGAAACATCCTTCGGCTGCTCGCGTCAATGATTCTGAGAACTATGGTCTATCAAATTACTCTCCCACCGCAAGACCACTGCTCTGCCTCAGCCGCGACCCGTATTGATTAAAGGCAAATGGTATCCCTGCCAGAGCAAAAGCCAAAAACCCCAGAAGTGAGCTGGCCCATTGGATGCCCAAGTGAGTGTACATTGGGGTCGCGGCGAAAGGCAGAACCACCGCCATTATAGCCCTAGTCGCACTCGCGGCCGCCTGCGCGGATGCCGAGGCTTCCTTATAAGCATCCGTCAGGTAGTTCAGCATGGCGGCGAAGACCAGAAAATAGCCGAAACCAAAGAAGATCCCAGCCATCATGGGTAGAGCTGGGTGGATTTTGCGATACGAACTCCAGCCGAGCCAGAAAAGCGCGATTACAATTCTGCGTTGGTCAGTCGAAGACAAGTTGATTGGTTGAGGTCCACGCACATACGAAACGGCCCCGACGCATGCAAGTGGCAGACGACGGTATTCTTCGACCATGGCCCAGGATTTGTTTGCTGCGATGGCTTTGCTGTGAAACGAGGAGTAGACAAGCACAAGGCATAGGCCGAGGAGGGAGCCAAAAATCACCATCGGCGGAACAAAGAAAGAAAGCCAAGTCATTAAGTATTCAAAGTGCCGCACGCGGAAGGGTCAAGCGATTTACATACTGGGAATAAATGCCAAACCATTATCACTGGTCGAAAGACGGTACAGCCCTGCCATTGTTGGGTGAAATGAATCACAGGAACAGGATCAGGGACTCAATTTACCTCGGAAGACCACAGGGTAAGCCTGGAAGAACAAGAACAGTATCACGTACACGACAGCAAGGTACAGGAATGTGAAGGCAACGATGGGCTTTCTCACAAGCATGCGAAACGGCCGACTGAAGATCTTCCTGGCAGAAAAGGCCTGTGCTCCGTGAGGTTGTAGGCTGTCGCCCCTTGAGAGCATTCGTCATCGCGTTGTTCCCAAGAATCACGGGGAGGTATGTCTCTGGCAGCAATATGATGACTGGAACACCAGCCCCGGCAGCCATCAGCGCTACCCAGAATACCCAACGCCACGAGAGCAAACCCGTGAACCCGGAGACCAAAGGCCCCGCCATCGGGCCAGCCATCGCCACGACATGAAATTGGCCATGGCGCGGCCGCGTCGCTCCGGATCATCATAGATGTCGCTGTACAGCCCGCTGAGAACGGCGTTGGGGACCGATGCGTTGAGCCCGCAGAGAAACCGGAAGGCTAGCAGGGATTCAAACGTCGGCGATAGTGCACACGCCAGGGTAAACAGTGTGAAAACTAGATAGGTGGCGATGAGGACGGGCCGGCGCCCGAAGTATTCGCTCAGGGGTCCGAAGGACAATGGGCCGACCACGAAGCCGGCGAGGTACAGCGAATTCGAGACCACGAGGCGGGCATCGTTCTCAGATACTTGAAATGCCTGCGCTATTGCCGGCGAGGCTCCCGAGGGCAGCGAAGCACCCAAAGATCCATTGAAGGCGAAGATGGTGCCTGCTAGGACAATCTGTTTCTTTCGGAGCTGTGTAGCCGGATGTATCTGTCAGGACGCGCATGAGGTTGGATACTGAGGGTGTTCGCAGAATATTACTTCACTGAAGCCCACGGCCTTCCTTAGAGGCGACACTTGCCCTGATGCTAGTTCGGCCTCTGCAGTCTCAATCACTTGCGAGACCATCCCGGCGTCTGACAGTCTGCAACGGGCTGCGATGATGCTTCAGTTGCTTTCCGTGTGTACTACTCATCCCTAAGTAAGGACTGTTTGATATGCTCGAAATTCTAAATGACATAAATAAACTGATGTACATTAATGGTTCCGGTGGGAAGATTGCTTCAAACCCTTGGACCTTTTATGGTACATGGGTACAGGGTACTTCAGAGGAATCCAATTTAGAATTTTGATGTAGTATATCTTGATCTCCTTGGTTCAGTGTGTGTGACAGGCAGATTGAATTGACCTGAAGCTATGGAACCAGACAGTACTAGTAAGAATCCTATGACGTAGTGGCAGTGACACGTGCACAGACGTGTCAGCGCACCATCTGGTGTATTTTCACATTGAGTGCCAACAACCTGAATGTAAAAGAAAATGACGCCAGTGAGCAAAGCAACAGCTGGAAAAAATCCAGGGACCCTGCATTGAAAGGGACCTGCGTGGAGCCAAGCCACCCAATGAATAGGTCGGTGGCGGTGGAGCTTCCGATCCCCGATACTGTGACGTCACCTGCCACTCTTTCCCCATCCATCGACAGAGGAAGTTGATCGCCTTTAATTCTCCAGCTTGTCGCCCCTCAATGATTTTTCTCTTTCCAGCCCTCCATCGCAGGTCTCTCAGAATTTCCGGCTGAACGACCACTGGGTCCTTGGAACGATGAGGGTGTCGATCATTGCGCGTCAGGCCCTTGTGCAGGCCTCTCTTCTCTCAATTGCCTCCGCTATTCCCGCTCCAACTGCTTTCCCCAGCACCAACTACGACAACAATGCCGCTGCCGCCCCGCCAGACCCGGTCATCACCCCTTCGCCCGTCGAGTACAACCCCTCTCCAGTCGTCCCAGTCGCGCGTCGGAATATCCTGAGTGATGTTGATTCGGATATCAACAGCGTCCTCTCAGGGCTTGGGTCGGACCTCCCCTCGTGGGTCGCATCGGGGGTGCCCAACTTCTTCCAGGGGTTCCCCACGGGAGATGCTGTCGTGAGCTCCCTCGGCCTAAACAGTGCTCAATTGGCAGCACTTCCCACCAATGTCTTGAACATCGACCCCTACGCCAATTGGACCAGCTCCGGCTGGAACGTCCGCTTCCACGGAAACGTTTACAAGCAGCCTAACACCTCCGTCTCCGACCTGAACAAGCTTGCCAATGTCTTTCTTGGGAACACAAGTATCGAGGATCTGCCGGAGTCCCAGCAGGCGCAGGCACGCAATCTGACGGGCGAGATTCTGGTGGTTCAGCAGCCGCACGTTGCCGTGAACACCATCCACCTCGAGCCGGCACCGAGTCAGGGAGCCAGCGGAGAGCCCGGTGGCGGCGGCGCAACCAACACCACCGGCGGTACACAAGACCTGACTCTTCCTTACAACACCACGGTCGAAGGTGATTTCGATGTCTTCGTGCCGATTGACAGCAACGGCCTGACCGCGGGGAATGAAACCTCGGCAATCCAGAGACTCAACACTTACGTGAAGGGCGCATCGATTGGAAACAGTACCGCCTACTTGGTGCCACCTAAGGGTCTCACCATCGTGTCTGACATTGATGACATCCTCCGGGTCACCAAGATTTATGAACCGGAACAAGGCTTGCTCAACTCGTTCGCTCGCCCCTTCACGCCGTGGGAGAACATGCCTGACCTGTACCGTAACTGGTCCATCAACATCCCGAACATGCATTTCCACTACCTTGTAAGCTTTTTTGGGCTATCTGCATGTCTTGGATACTAATTGTCGCAGACTACCACGCCCGAGCAAGTGACCAGAAACTACATGCAGTTCATCTACACCCACTACCCCGGCGGCTCGTTCGACACCCGTCCCCTCAACTTCAGCGACGTCTCGGCCACCCTGTCGATCCGCAAGTTCTTGTTGAAGAAGGTCTTCGAAACCTTCCCCGAGCGCAAGTTCATCCTGATTGCGGATACCAGCAACAGTGATGTCATGCGTGACTACCCCGAGATGGTGACCGATTTCCCCGGACAAGTCCAGTGTATCTGGCTCCGCAACACCTCGGCCACCGACGCGGGCGACAGGTTCCCGTACGACACGTCCGGGTTCAAGAACCTGAATCAATCGCAGTACATGTTCTTCCTGCATCCGAACGACCTCACCAACCTGGATGTCGCGAACGGCCAATGTTACAACCAGTCCATTGCCCAGAACTTGACCTTCAGCTACCAGGGACTGCCCTTTGGGCTTGGGGATGACCCCACCTCGGTCAATGGGTCCGCGAACGGCACCGAGGAGAATGCAGCTAGCGGACTCTCGACGAAAGGAGCTGCTGGTGCGCAGAGCCTGATGGCCTTGGTCGCGGCGATGTTCACGGCCACGTTCATGTTCTTGTAGAGTCATGTCGATACGAATCATGTCATAATGTCCTGTCCATCTCATACATCTCATATAGTGAATTGAGATAGATTTCACTGTTATGTCTTTCTTTGACTCAGGTTCCTCTGGAAGAAGAGTATGCCGTATTCTGCAGGCGGGGTTCCGAGTCAGTTCCTGCTGTCCATTCCGTTTCTATTACAGCACCAGATAGCACACCTGCATTGACAATGCTGTTGTGCGTTGGCAGTCATGATAAGAAACACGTCACCTTATCGCATTGCGCGATAGGGAGGGTACAGGAGCCACCGAAGAACGCCCGAGGATGAAGGGTGAGATTCCGCTTCTCCCTGCACCTTATACGGAGTAGTTGAGTAATTTCTTCCCTGGTCACACGTCCATCTGGCCAGGGGTTCGTACGTTTCGCCGGCGGCCGGGCACGGACCACCCGTTGCTATTCTCGGCGGCTGTCTAGAACCTGGAAAGGATTCTGCAAACTCCAACATGGAGAATTTGTTATGCTCACGGGATCAGGGACGTATGTACAGTACAGAGTACGGTGCTGGGGTTGACAGTTTCGGGGCATGAAGCTACGGGGCCCGAAGATGAGGGCTGCTATCGTTAGCTGCAATTGATGAATCAAAATTAGGTCCGAAGGTTCCGAAATTCCCAACGGGGTTCTGCTGGCCCGGGTTCCCCAGATGGGAAAGAGAGAGATGTGTACTACGGAGTCGCAAGTCACAGGTATGAGAGCTCATCTCTTTTGGATGATGAGTTGAAAGCAGAACAGACACAGAAACACACCACAATCCATTTTCAACCCCTTCCCTCCTCCTCCTCCTCCTCCTCCTCCTCCCCGCCGCGTTATGCGTTCTGTTAAATAGTCTGGGGAAAGCGGGGTCTCCGGGCTGGGTCACCTGCGCACGCCCCATGGTTGGCTTTCCGCTCCCCCCCTCCTTCGGCTGGCCGATTCGGATCTATCTATCCTACCTACCCTTCTGGTTTTGGTGGTTGAGTCCAAACGGTACACTTGGTGGACAAGGATGAGGAATTAGTCTCAATGTTCTGGGTTGGATGGTACAGTAGACAGACCCCTTGGTGGATGGTGTTCAATATCAATTAGTCCAGGAACGCCGAACGGCCATTGGGCGTGGGCCCTAATCCTGGCTCCGAGTACAGGAACTACAGTCCGCTGCAGCCGAACAATCCAGGCTCCAGGTACACTCCAGGGCGTCATGTGTATGTCGATAAGGGCATGGATGCCGTGGAATGTGGACCCCCCCCCCCAGTAACTAACCTCGCCAGGGGTGAAAGAAAGTAATAATGGGGTGGAAGGGATCTGGAGAAAGAACCCCGTGACCAACCCCAGGGTGGTTCTCGACCCGACCTTGAAGATTTGCTTCCTTTCCGTATCGAGCCCGGCCTTGCCTCCTTCCCGGATTTCCTGATCCGGTAACCCGAGTTATCCACTGCGCTGCACCGCTCTGCCCTGTAACTGACTGGGTTACTGGTACGATTCTCGTGATATTGTACCAATATCGTTACTTCATCATGATCCAACACCACAACAGCTGACTCGTCAGCCCTGTCTGCTGTTCTTCCTTCCTCTCACAGATCGAAAATGGCTGCCATGCTTCCCTCCTGGGTCTGGACCGCGGACCACCGCTCTTCCTCCCCTCGCTGCCCGTTTCTCTTTCTCCGGATTCTGCTTTGTCCTCATGACTTCCCTCTGCCCCATTGCCAGGACTACTACAGGGCCGGTCCTGTCCTGCTTTCCTATTGAGGCAACCCTTGGACTCAGTGTGAATTATTTAAAGAAGCTTCTGCGTCCATCGCCTTCAAGTCCCCAAACCATCAACCTTGTCGTCTGCGTTGCGTGAGCCAGCTTTCAGCTTTCAGCGAACTACTTACTACTCTATTCTACCTCTCCTCTTCAGCCCAGACAGTTCAAGTACAGTCCACCATGTCCCTGTCCCTTGAGACCACCGACGTTGCTCCCGCTCCGGTCCCCGTCCCAGCACATACTGGCCCCGCTCTCGGCTCCACGTCGCGGATGCCCGAGTTCAGCCTGGCTGGGAAGGTGGTCTGTGTCTCTGGAGCGGCCCGCGGTCTGGGGTTGACGCAGGCCGAAGCTCTGCTCGAAGCTGGGGCTAAGGTGTATGCGCTTGACCGTCTCGAGGAACCAGTGAGTTGCCCTTGAAGAATAACCCGGGGACTTTTTCTAACGTAAGGTCGTCTAGTCCCCTGAATTCGCCATCATCCAGAAACGCGCGCAAGCGGAACTGGGAACCGAGCTACACTACCGTCGCATTGACGTGCGCGACACGGAGCTGCTGAACACTGCCATCGAGGCCATCGCCAACACGGAGGGTCGGATGGATGGCCTAGTCGCCGCCGCGGGGATCCAGCAGGAAACCTCGGCGTTGGAGTACACGGCCGCGGACTCGAACCGCATGTTCGAGGTGAACGTGACCGGCGTGTTCATGACGGCGCAGGCCGTCGCAAAGCAGATGATTCGCTTTGGCAACGGCGGCAGCATTGCACTGATTGCCAGTATGAGTGGGACAATCGCCAATCGGGTATGTGTCTATGCTACGTGACTTCCCCGCTTTTTTGTCGGGGATACCGCGCCACCCCCCTTGTTATCTTGACATCACGTACGTGTCCCGCTGACTGGTCTGAAGGGCCTCATCTGCCCCGCGTACAATGCCAGCAAGGCTGCTGTGATCCAGCTGGGTCGTAACCTCGCCATGGAGTGGGGCCAGTACAACATCCGGGTCAACACGATTTCCCCGGGGTATATCGTGACGGCGATGGTGGAGCAGCTGTTCGTGCAGTTTCCCGAGCGGCGTGAGGAGTGGCCGAAGCACAACATGCTGGGACGACTGTCCACGCCCAACGAATACCGGGGCGCGGCGGTCTTCCTCCTCAGCGACGCCAGCAGCTTCATGACGGGCAGCGATCTACGCATCGACGGCGGGCACGCCGCGTGGTAGATGCCTGGATTTTCTGTGCTTCTTGTTGCGGAGTCGCACGGCGTTCATCTGTGGAAAGCGAAGCGTTGATTGACTGGGATTCCTGTTTACAATATGGGCATGACGTACAACATCTACGAGGGAGCGACGATGGATTTCTCATTTTCCTGTTTAGCGGTGCTGGTGTCTGGGTAATTCACTTTAGATAATTGGGGATGTATTGGGCACGACCACAAATGTACACAGTGTTTTGACCATAATCTAATGAAGGCTGATCAGTTTGATCTGGGGATTCTCCATAAACCACCCACTTTCCCACTTAGCGTCCGATCTGGCATGTCAGCCTGGAATCTGGATGCACATGACCCACCCACCTTGTTCTTTGGCACATCTCCTGCCAGATTTCAAGTTCCTTAGCAGTACCCAATCTGGCCTTCTCGTTCCAGGCAATAATCAGCGGTACTCCCTACCTTAGTATGTAGGAAAACGGCCAAGTAGAGAAGAGCGCAATCGGACCCCGGAACCCCCCCTTCAATCAAGGGAAATAAACTCTGTGCCCCGCACCCGCATTGGCACTCGGCCTACACATCTTTACCCAATGCCCACGCGATCATCAGTTTTGCCCCCCGCCCTCACCTCCGCATGAACCGTGGGTTTCCTCCTCCAAGGTTTCGGTTTCGGTTTCGGTTCTGGTTTTGCTAAAACATCCAGTTAATGAGGATGACATCAGCCACGTGTCATTGAAGGCCTGGAGACATCACCTAAATCATCTCTGTGTACTCTAAGTATGTACAGTGTAAGCTGGTCTCCATCCAGTATGTTATACGTACTGTATATGCGCAGGTAGTAGTGTTTGCTAGATGTGAACAACCCCCCCCAAATAAACTCCAGTTCTCGTGGTATATACGAATGCAGTATCCGCCGGATCGAATGTTTGGCGTAGATCCGTTCTGCGGGGGTGGACTGGAGTGGGATTGGTGATTCAGGTATAGTGGGTTCAATCGTATGGTCTCCTGTGTAGTAATGTACAGGCCTTACGTGGCTGGTATCTATAGATCTGAAGGGTACTTGCGTGTTTGCTCGTAGATCCCCTGCGGGCTTCATCTGCATGGACAACGCATTCGTAGATCTACGGGGTATTGGCAGGTAGAATGTACAGTCCTGCGAATCACCAGCAGTCATGTAGCCTCTAGCTTCGCATCCGAGTAACTTTGTCAAATCATCCACGAGTCCTCTGGCAGAATAGCAGATGCGCAAAAGCACTAGTGCCGACTCCTGGATTCTACACCTCTAAAATACAGACGGGAAATACCATATCAGGAAGAGCCAGATGTGTGGATACCTTCCAAACCCAGCTGAAGGGTTGTAAGAGAGGAACAATGGGATTCATTCAAAAACAATCGCCATTCGGCCAACATTACCCGCAGTCCCTATTCATGGAATGAATAGGCCTAACTGCGGACCCATTGGTCCTAATTGAGTATTTGACTGCCTGAGGCAGGAATTGTAAAGGCGCCACCTTACAAGGGTGATCATATCCAATGATTCAGTACTACGTAGAATTGCCACGTTATGACTCAACACAAGAGGTGTAACACATGACATCATCAATCCTCGATGGTCTAACGGTCATGATTTCCGCTTGTCAATCTCAACCGAGAACAAGCGCGGGAGACCTGGGTTCGACTCCCAGTCGGGGAGATTTCTTTTTGCGTAACCCCCACCTCCGGTGGCAGTCAGTGCTTTGACTTTTTGCTGCCGGGCATTTGAGGGTAGTGTCTTGCTGCCTCTTTAATCCGGGACAGTCTCGAATGTGCAGAAGGGGGCATCTCCTGCATCTGCATGCGATGATCTCTGTGCTGGGTTGAAGCTGCTGCAGCAGGGATGGCCTCTGGCTGCTCCGCTTGTATACTACGGACCTTGCCAAACATTATGTGATACTCACCACTTCGAACTTCCAATGTTTGGGTTACATCTTGACAATTAGTTCACGACCCAGGGTCTAACGCAGCTCAACTGTGTGGAATCGAACCCAATGCTCTGCATGTCAGGAACCCACCAATCCCAATCCCCCCCTGGAGGTCCAGAACCCACCCAACTTTCTCCACTTCTGCTATCTTTCTTCCCGGACTTGCCGCATCTTGGCAAAGACAAAAACCCCCAACCGAACCAGGCAACACTGCGCTGCCTGGTATCGGACGTAGACTCTAGACCAACTACGTATCGCAAACAACATCTACGTATATATAGCCCGCATCTCTCCATACGTAGTACTCTCTTGATATTCCACGCCCTGCACCAACTCTTACCATCCCATACAACTCATCAGCAGGCCAAAATGCCCTCCCTCCTCCACCTCCCCCCCGACCTCCACCTGCACATCCTCTCCTACCTGCACCACGACTGCCTCGCTCTCGCCCTGACCTGCCGCACCCTCTACCACCTCTGCGACCTCCCCACCCGCAAGCGCTTCCGGCGCATCCGCGTCCAGCCGGGCAAGAACCTCGACCGCGCGTTCAATCTCTTGCTGGCGATCATCCGCCGGCCGAGTCTGGGCCGGTACGTGCGCCACCTCGAGTACCAGGGGGTGGTGGAGGCGCACGTGCCGTACGAGGAGAATCTCGGGGATCGGGAGGCGGAGCTCCGCGACGAGGCCGGGGTGATGGGGTTGTTGCAGGCGGCGGTGCGGCGGGCGATCGGGGTGGATGAGAACAATGCAGACGCAGATGACAAGAAAACAAAATTGGCGGCGCAGGTCATGAACATGCTGATGCAGTCGTCCGAGCAGCGGAATAAGGGGGACTGGAATTATACGTGAGTGTTTTGGTGTCGTCTGCTCCGCAAGCAAGGATAAGGATAAGGTTGGGCTGATGATGGGGCGGTTTAGGTATCGAGGTATGCACGGGATCTTTGCGGTTCAGGCGGTGGCGGCGCTGCTCGTCTCGGTGGCCCCGAACCTGGAGTCCATGGTGCTCGTGCAGCCCTTCTTCAATTACACCGGGTTCTATCACACGGAAGGGCGGTTCGCGAACCAGGACCGCGTGGCGTTTCCGCTGGACTACGTCCTGCGCCGGGCGAACGGCGAGGGCGACGCGACGCCGTTTCTGCGCCAGCTGCGCCGCGTCTACTTCATCAACGCGGGCCGCGGGTGGATGGATGACGAGCGCTTCTACACGAGCATGGACTTCCTCGGGTTGTTCGCCCTCGTCGACCGGCTTCCGGCCATCGAGACAGTCAGCACCGACGTCCTGTGCGAGGACGAGAATGGCAAGCCCGGGCTGGAGCCGAATTCGTCCAACATCAGCCGCATCCGCATCAACCATTCAGCTGTCGATACCATGTATCTCGCTTCGGTGATCTGTGCGTGCAAAAGTCTCAGGGAGCTCCAGTTTTCTCTGGGAGGTCGGGCCTCCTCGGACGGAAGCAGCTCGATGCAGAACCCCAAGACTTTTCTCCAGACGCTCCTCTTGCACAGGGAGACTTTGGAAGTTCTTGATGTAGATTTCGAGGCCAACATAAGTGAATTCTGGAACGATGACGACGAGGACACGGAGCCGGATTTTGATACATACGGCGGACGGTCAGAGGCGCATCATAGCTGGACGGGCGCGCCGCCGGACGAGCTGTGGGAGCAGAAGGGCTCGTTGCGAGACTTCACCTCCCTGACCCATGTGAGCCTGGGACTCAAGACTCTGCTATACATGGCTAAAGGGGTCAATCTGACCGAGCCGTCAGACTTCAAGCTGGCCGATCACCTGCCGCCCAATCTGGAGTATCTACTTATCCGGGGCTATGAGAGAGGTCATCGCAAGGACCACGACGAGCACATAGACGGCTTACTGTCCTTGAAAGAGAGCGAAAGCTCCAAGCTGCGAGAGATCAAGGGCATTGACGAGTTGATTCCACACGCCGAGGACGTTGATGATCCCGACGATGAGTCGGCTCCGTTGTGGGAGTGGGAGGAAGAGGAATGGTCAGAGGATGAGTAAGTATTCGTGTGTAAAGGTGTATGTAGCCCTCTCTGTGCTGATAAACAGTGGCTGCACTGCAGATATCGGGCCGATGGCTGCTCCACCCCATACTCTTCTGTTCCTAACCGAAGGGCGCAGTTCGGTTGCACCCGACCGCCCGCCCAATCATCAAGCTTCATCTTATCATCTTATCCGCATCGCAAGACATCAACTGATAAGATTGAGATGTTCCTGCTTGCAACGTGCCTGGCAGTCTGCGTATTGGACCCAAACACTTATCGCATCCCCCAATGCGTCGCCAATGAGGTCGATGGTCGGCTCAGCAGAGTGGAGGTGCGAAAACCGACTCCGATTTCGGTGGGGTAAATGCAGCCGGGCATAGACACTCTCCATCCTCGGCTGCGTTCTATTGACTTGGCGCAGTAAACTTCTGCGATGGAGGGAAGAACCTTATAAATAGGGAGCTGAGACCTTAATCATGAGTAGCCAGCTGAACATACCTTCTTCTTCTTTTGTATTCGACCGGTTGAACCGGATTTTCCTTTCCTCAATGGCTCGTTTCCCGCGGTCTGCATTGGGCCTGTCTGCGCCATGCCTGATGGGATTGATCGGCTCTGTAGCAGCGCGGTTGGTATCCACCGGCATGTCCGTCACGCTTCAAGACATAGATTACTTCATCTCCCCATACGCCGCCGGAAATGTGACCATTCCATCTTCTTTGTTGTCCCACGTCCCAAGCGTCAATGGGTTCGCACCGGTGACTGTCGTGCAAGAGGACACGGGGGAATTGTCCTCGCTATCTTCGCTCTTTTCCACATGGTCCACGAAAGACGACGTGTTCACGGACGCATTTCTTGACGCTGTGTTTGTCCGCAGTAGCCGACACGCCAACATCACCTCGCTCAAAGAAGGCCAAACGAGTGTTGTGGTACCCCTCGAATCCAGATCGGTTCCCTCCGGTCCGTACTTCATCGAGCAGACCACCGGCAAGCTGTACCCCGTGTACCGGCTATACAGTGACTTTGCCGGAGCTTTCAACCAGCCCCTTCTGCAGAAGCCCGACGGCACATTCCAGGCTCTGTCGGCCCAGGTCGCTGGCGTCGCCTCAGTAACAGTGGGCGTGCCGTCTCGGCTCTACTATACGCCCACCGAAGACAAACCACTGGCCGGCGTCCGGGTAGGCATCAAGGACATCTATAGCCTCGCAGGCGTCCGACAGAGCAACGGCAACCGGGCCTGGTACAATCTGTACGGCGAGAACAACGTCACTGGCACGGCCGTGTCGCGGATCATCGAGGCCGGAGGAATCATCGTCGGCCTGCAGAAGCCCTCGCAATTCGCCAACGGAGAGACCGCCACGGCGGACTGGGTGGACTTCCATGCGCCCTTCAACCCGCGCGGGGACGGCTACCAGGACCCGTCGTCCTCTTCATCCGGGGCCGGGGCCTCGATCGCCTCGTACGACTGGCTGGATCTGGCCTTGGGCAGCGACACGGGCGGCTCCATCCGCGGACCCGCCGAAGTCCAGGGAATCTTTGGCTCACGGCCGTCGCACGGCCTCGTGGCGCTCGACAACGTCATGTCCCTATCCCCCGTGCTCGACACGGCGGGCTTCCTCACGCGCGACCCGTACCTCTGGGACCAGGCCAATCAGGCGCTGTACAGCACCAACTATACCTCCTTCAGCGGCAAGGCCGTCAAGTACCCCAGCACACTGTACACACTGAGCTTCCCGACGACCAACGACTCGGCCAGCGACGCGATGCTGCTGGACTTCCAGCAGAAGCTGGCCGCCTTCCTCAACACAACCACCACGCCCTTGAACCTGACCGCGGACTGGACGGCCAACCCACCAGCCGAGGCCCCCTCCGACGTCACCCTCCCGACGCTGCTGAACCTCACCTACGCCATGTTGATCAGCAAGCAGCAGATCTCGCTGGTCCGGGATCCCTTCTATGCCGACTATGCAGGTAAGCACCCCACCCCCAACTTACCACCAAAGCCAACTCCATTGTCACCGACAACCCACCACTAACTGCACCCCCAGCAAAACACGACGGCCGCCTCCCCTTCGTCGACCCCGTCCCCGTCTCGCGGTGGAACTGGTCCGAAGCATACCTGGCCTCCGCCCTCGACGAGGCCATCACCAACAAAACGATCTTCATGGACTGGATGGCGTCGAACTACCTGGGGCGCGTGGCCGACCCGGAGCAATGCTCCTCCTCGCTGATGGTGTACGTGGGCTCGGCGGGGCCCGAGACGGGCGCCGCGCGCAACCTCTACCGCTCTCTGCCCGGCGCCCCGCTGGGCTGGGCCAGCAGTCGCATCTCCAACATGGCCGAGGTGCCGGACTTTGTCCTCCCCGTGGGCGAGGTTGCCGCGTACAGCAGCATCACAAACCACGACGAGAAGTTCCCCGTCACCGTGGATGTGATCGCGGCCAAGGGCTGTGATGGGTTGATCGTGCGGCTGGCGCAGGATCTGCTGGAGGCGGGGATTATCAGCCGGCCGTTGACGGGGGGGACGATGGCGGGTGGGGAGGTTTTGCTTTAGTTTGTCTGAGGGGGTGGGTGAAGCTTGTTTCTTTTTGGGAAATGTGCCATCTTTCTTGTAAATATTTCTGGTATACATGATGTTGCGAGTGGGTGGCGTGGAAAGAAGATGGACGAAGGGGGTGAGGATAAAAGATGGCTCGATGGAAGTAGATGTTTATAGATAATAGATTTGATACCTGGGGCTGATGTTGACGACTTAGACTTTTGCTGTTCACGCTGTAAGAGTAGTCGACAAATGTTTAGTGTCTTGTTTGATGAGTGGAAAGTGAGTCAGGCAATGAACGAGGTTGCGGTGGAAGTTGAGGTTGACGGGGAGAACAGGTAGTGATGTCTCGATGTCTCAGTCGGCAGGTGACTTTGGTCTTGCCGCCCTTCAGAATCACGGTGCATGACATTTCCCAACCCCCCTCCACCGCAGTGACTTCCCATGAAAAAGTATTGTACAATTGACGCTGTCACTGCTTTTCGCACACCCGGCGAACAGAGCCATGGTGATGCATACCTCCCCTCCAAAATGGCAGACAAGCATTATATTGCTATTTTACAGTTCAAACCCCCAACCCATTACACCTCCGCCGTAGCCCCATCAAGCACAGTCCTTGTTAAAGAAAAGGCACCTCAGAGGCAAATCGCAACCGTCAGACAAGACAGCAATCGAACCCATCCACCCACAATCCACCTCAACCAAGATCCCCCACAACCCCCTTTACCCCCAACCGCTCCACCACCCCCCTCTTCAACCGCAACACCCGCTCGATCTCCCGCGCCGGCAGACCCTGGCGATCCCGCATGGCCAACACCTGCCGGATCGTCAACGCATCCAGATACTCTCGTCCGACAAAGTCCGGCCGTCCCAGGTTGTCGACCTCTTCCTCCGCCGCCTTGGTGATCCGTTGCCGCGCCGTAACGGTCAGCAGGGCTGGGTTCGGGGCGGGTGCGAAGGCGGCCGTCGGGGCGCCTGGTCCCCCGAAGGACCGCTGCGCGGGGTTGAAGGTGCTCGAGGGAGAGAAGGTTGGGTTCGGAGTCACGGGGCCGATGCTGCGGAGGGAGGCGGCGAAGTCGGGGTCGCGGCCGTCGATGTCGATTGCTTTTTCGAAAATGTAAGCTTGGCAACTTCTGGGGAAGGGGGGTGCGGGAAGGTGGGTTGAAGATGTATGATGAAGGGAAGGCAAGAACAGGCAAGGGAAGGCAAGGGAAGGGAAGGGGGCGCGTACCGCTTGATTTCTCCAGGGACGCTTGTTCTTGGTTTTTCGGATGGTAGGTTGCAGGTCTCGGGGAGCTGGGTTGCGCGCTGGGGCGTGGACTGCGCTTCGGCTGCTCGTTGAGTCTAGGTTGTGGTTGTGGTTGTGGTTGTGGCGCGCGCGGTGCTGATGCGGGTGTGGAGGTGGGAGGTCTGGTGGTGGTGGTAGTGGTGGGTTGTTTGGGATATTGACGCCGTGAAGCTGCCGCCGCTGCGGACTTCACGGGTTTTGATGCTGATGAACCCATGGTGTGGGGAAGTAAGTGTGATGTTTGTTGCAGTGTTAGCCTCAGCTTGTGAAGACTGCGGCGGATCAACCGCCGTTGCCTCTCTTCTGCAGAGGATCCGATCTGGCAGGCTAACCCGATCGGGGTAAATACTAGCCGCGCGGGTGACGTCAGCCATTCCCGATGTTTTCATATGTAAATTACTCCGTAAAATACGGGGTACTGCTAGCGACTATGAGGTTGGTCTCGCTCGTCCTGCAGGAATTTTGATAGCTAGAATGTACAGTTTCTTCTACACTGATACAGCAAGTAGTCATCGACAACGAGCTAGATGACCTCGGATACACCCCAACAACTGACAATGCCACCCCCAGACTCTCGACCGGCAACACTGAGCGATTTAACGCAGACCGGCAAGCCGTCTGCCCTGGACCTCACCGAGAGCACGGCTGCCGCTGACGAATGCGACGGTACCAGCCACCGCGACAGCAGGAAGGATCTGGAAGAGGTTCCAGGAGGTATAGTACAAGAAGAAGATGCCCTGGATGGCGAAGAGCGAGCCGAGGAAGACAGCGTGAGGAAGGGGAGCCGACTTGAAGGCGGTAGGGAGATGGTTCAAGTTGACGCCGAGGACCAGCCACTGTATCAGAGGGAAGTTAGCCCTCCATCGAGGCGGCAACAGAGAAGGACGACTTACCACTCCGCCCAGAACCGGAAGGGAAGCAAGCACGAGAGCGAGGAAGACCAAGGTGATGACCAATGGAGGACTCTGAGCATCGGTCTTGAAGATGTGGTGGATCTCCGGGAGTTTTCCGTAGCGCGACGACTCGACGGTGGGCACAGGCTCATCGGGGTTCCGGGCCACCGTCAGCTTGAACGCAGCTCCGTTGTAGGCGTCGGCCTCGCCGAAGGATCCGATCAGGACTCGCGCATCGAGGGGTTCGGAAACGGAAAGGAATTGAACGGGCAGGTCCTTCTGGGTCTAGCATGCACGTCAGCTTTGTTGCGTCCCGTCCAGAGCCACTTGGAAAGCACTGACCAGCTCAATTCTGGATTTGCCATTATCCTTCACGCTGAAGGGGTAGGAGATATCCAGTCCGGTCTCGGGGTCCTGGAGGAAGAGGAAAACCTGGTGCGCGCGTTTGGCCGTGCGGCCTTCCTGGGCTGTCAAAGTCACCTTCAAGGTGTCGGCAGATCCGAGGGAGACCGGCTTGGAGAGAGCTTTGTTGTCGGGAATTCTGTCAATGGCGCCAGAAGATTAGCATTGTGAACCTTTGCTGTAGGTTTCACCTTGGCGATCATTGTACATACGCTTCCTTGATTCCCGCGCCGACGCCAGCGCCTTTGGTGTGAACTGACACGGTGGCATCAGTAAATCCCCACGCGGAAGCAGCGACAGCGGTCGGCAGGGCGGTAGAGGCCAGCACGGACAGCTGAAGGAGAGAGTGCCACAGCTGCATGGTGATGTGTGATTGAGGAGGGAATTGGAGGGAAAGAGGTGGGAAACGCAACGACCGAAAGTAAACCGCAGGAAACGAAGCTGGTGCTGTGGAGGAGTTGATGCGGTCGGTCGGCGGAGAGACCAGATGATAAGTGAACTACGGGGGAATCAATCAGTCTTACTTGGCCAGAAAGGCAGAAAAAGGCCGACCGACCGACACGCAAGCCCGGCGGCCAGATTCGGCGCTAAGATAAGCGCCCGCGCGCGTGCATTGGGGCAAGCAACGGTCCAGTGACCAGCGGCTTCTTCACCGCCCGCCTGCCTTTGCGCAAGCCCTAATTTCCCGGCCGTCTCGATGGGAGGTTTCGGCCCTGGCTTTGCTTGCTTGCTTGCTTGCTTGCTCTGCTTGCTTTGCCTTGCCCTGCCTTGCCTTTGCCAAACATAACTCTTCCTCTCCGCTTCCTCCATCCCCCACACCCTTCTCGACTGTCCTGTTACTGGTTTGCAAAGTAGCAAGACTTCCGATCGACTGGAAAATCGCTTCTGACCCTGTGCGCCATGTCTTTGACCCCTCCCCTTTAGTTCCGCGACGAACCTCCCTGCGCTTGCAGTTCGCCTTGGAACGTCCCGGGGTTTCCCTCGCCTCTCCGCCCCAACCGATCGGGGTCACGCGGGTTCCTCGATCGCAAACCGCCCGACTCTGAGCGAAAATCACTTTGTGCATGCTGAAAGTGTATACACGATAAGTAGGGGGGATCTCTCTCTGCCTGCGGTGTTGTCGTTTTGGTTGGTGCGTGTCAGTCAGCTTTTCCCAGGAGGTGGCCGCTTCCTGCTAGGTAGGTAATTCTTCGCCGGTTGTACCGCAAATCCTCGGTCCTGCTGTCTGGTTTTCGCATTTCACTGACAACCACCGCCCAACCTTGCAGGCGAAGTCCAAGCCCAGTCCGACCGTCGCCTTCACTGCGAGCTTCCACCGTCTGTAGCGACAACCACCCACGACCAAGCAATCAGAACTCATTGCCTGTCAGCTAGCTCCGTTACACTCCGAACTAGGGACAGTGGTGCTGCGATACTAGGGCTGAACTGGGGCACGATACCTGAACACAAGTCACAAAAGGGGTGGAAAAGTTGGTGATCCAGACATCGTCAAAAAGTAAGAATATAGAGCGTCCAGTTTTTTTGGCTAGTCAACAGTTCATTCACTCCAGAACATTTCTAAGACGAACATGTGACTTTGAAGGCGGGGGGTGGGGGGGTAGTTTTATTCAGTGAATGCGATGCTAATAACACAACAGTGGTGGGTAGGGCTTCACTGGCCAGGGAACTCGGTTCCCCCGCCGCATTGTCTCTCGATCCAACAACGCCTGTATGTTGATTCCTCCATGCCTGCTTGCCCCCTCATTGCATCTCCCTCTCTCCCTGTACCCATATCCTCAAACCCGTGCTTACCCAGCTTCCAGCGTGAGACTCGACGAAGCTCATCGCGTGCGTCACGTAAAACAACCCGTGAACCTGAATCGCACGCCTCAAATCACTCTCAGTCATCTTACTCTCTACCTCCAACTCCGGTCACCACCTCATTTGAAGACTCGTTGCCGTCGGCGAAACGACGCAAGACGCAACGACCTGTTAATCAGACTACGCAGACTCCCAAAGGAAAGGAGTCCACGGAGACTCCTAATACGTCTACTTCCAAGGGACCGGTGGTCTCATCTCAACCCACTGACAGTGTCTCCAAGAGGAGGGACCGAAATCGAAAAGCTGTGACTTCCAACAGCGAGCTGTCTTCAAATAGCGGATCTCCCAGTGAACCGGCTGTTCTTCAGTCCAAACCGCGTCTCGAACAGTCGCAATCAACGTTGCATCACTTTCTGCTGAAGAAACCTCAGTCAAAGCGGCATTCTTTGGCGACCACGGCTCTCCCGACTTCTACCTCTACCCCTCGTGTCACTTCTTCTGCTTCCTCTACCCCGCGTGCCTTGTCCACGTCGGCTTCTACACCCCGTGTTGTCACTTCTACTCCTGTCAGTACGCGCAAGGATCATAAATCCAAGGGCGCTGAGACTCCAAACTCCAACATCGTGAAAACTCCTGCTCAGATAAAAACTGAGTCTACACCTGCAGAAACTGCTACCAAGCCTGCCGATACGCAGGACAAGAGATCCCCCAAATCTCAAACACCTGTTGCACCATCTCGCCCGTCGACTCCTCAAGTCTCTACCAGCAGAGCGCGCCGTACGGACCGCAAAGCTACTGGTACCATCAACCCCAGTCGCTTGAACCCAGCCACTGAACATACCCAATCCACACCGATTGCACAGATATCAAGTCCAACGACATCATCAAAGATGGGCAACGCTAAGTCCGTCCCTTCCCGTGCCTCCAAGAAGGGGAGCACGCGGCCTCAGCGCAGCAGTCGTCGCTCGCTGATTGAGCCCGGAACCCTCAGCCAAGCCCCCAACTATCTGAGCAGTAACAACGCCAAAGCCAGCGACCTCTCCTCGGGCGCAGAGTCGCTCACCCCCGCGCTGCCGTTTGAGCGGGGGATCGCGGACAGCATCGAATCCACCACCCCAGCCTCCGACGACAAGGTCCTGCGGGATTTCGGGACTCCGATCCCCGACGAGAACAACACCCCCGGCGCGACTCCTTACGGGGATAGCTTCCACTTTGAGTATGACACCGACATGTACCGCAACAACTTTGGCCTCGATGGGACCACTGAAACGCCCGGCTCTCCCACCGGAAGCCTGACCACGGCGACGTCAGCTGGCAACCGTATTTCCACTAGACTGCGCAAGCCGACCATCAAGGCGATGGAGTCGATCGAATCCGAGCGGCGGTTCCGCCGGCCTCCGCGTTCGGCGTCGGCTCGACCCGATGGCCCCAAAGGTCCACCTTTGAAGTGGGATGCAGTGGCCTTGGGCATTCAGATATTTGATCTGGCAAATGCGGCTCTTGCTCCTGAATTCGAGCCTGTCGCCGAAGCGGATGACTGGCTGGCTGAGCTTCGTGGTGAGTTCGAGGTCAAGCATGCAGAGAGGGAGAAGGTGCGCCTGGAGCGGGAGAGACAGGAGAAGGAAAGGGAAGAAAGGGGCGAGAAAGAGAGGGAGCTGAAAGAGAAGGACGAGAGAGACACCGCGGAGAATGAGGCTCAAGAAAAGCCGAATGGTCAAGCGGACGTTGCGGAGAAGGAAGTTGATGTGACGGAGATTGAGGTTGTGGAGAATGGAGAGAAGCCAAATGCAGAGGAGACGAATGCAAAGGAGGCAAATGCAGAGGAGACGAATGCAAAGGAGGCAAATGCAGAGGTAATTGTCGAGCCAAATGCAAAGCCAAACGAATCTGCTGAGAAGGACTCTGCGGAGAAGGGCGCTGCAAAGAAGGGCGCTGCAAAGAAGGGCGCTGCAGAGAAAGAGAAAGGAGAGAGCGAGGCGGAGAAAACTAGTCCACCTGAGGAGCAGCTCCCGAAAGTGTCGAGACCTCAGAGACCGGTGCGTGCAACACGCAACAAACGCGCTCCCACCGAGGAGCAACCCTCAGACGAGACAAAGACCAAGGTCAAAGCGGGAGGGGCCAGTAAGCCAACCTCCTCGGGGCCCAAGTCAAAGGAGTGGACTGACGAAGACGGCTTCACGTACACAGGCCAAGTCAATAAGTTCGGCGAGGAACTGGTGTATGTTGGCGGCGAGTACGAATGGTATCGACCCAACAACACGTACGGGGATGACAAGCTGCCGCTGCCTCCCGTCCGCCTTATTTCGCGTGATCAGCTGGAAAAGGACCGTATCTTTGGCTTCCCCCCTCGGATGGGTGAGAGAAACATCCCACGTGAGACGCACATGCCGTTCACCTATGAAAACGTTTACGAGGAAAGAGCGAAGATCAAGGCCCGGGACGAAGCGCGCAAACGCGGCATCGAAGTGGACCGGTTCATGCCCTCTGCTGTCATTCACGCCCTGATTGCGGAGCATGACAAGAACTCGAGTGACAAGGAGAAATCCGGTTCGGGGGTGGAACACAAGGGCCCGGCTTCGCGCAAGCGACGCCGTGGCGCAGAGCAACCCACCGAGGCCGCACAAGCCGCTAAACGTCGTCGCAAGGAGAACACTCCCCCTCACGCAGCAGACCAGCCCAAGACTTTGCGCATCAAATTGACTTTGAAGGGCGCCGCAGCCGCAGCCGCAGCGGCGGGGAACGCCAGCTCTCCCAATGACTCATCGAAGAAGCGCACCCGATCTGAGATTGAGACCGCGCCTGAAACGAACGGAGTTCCAGACAGCAAGACCCCACAGGGCCGACCTTCGAAGCTTCTCAAAATCTCTGGCCTGCGCCGTGATCCAGTCTCGACTCCAGCCAAGTCAGCGGCGACTCCGGCCACGCCTGGGGGCGGGAACAAGAACACCACTGCTACACCTGCACCTGCACCTGTGCCGACACCTGCCACGGCCCCGGCCCCCCAGACTTCGACTCCGGTCACCGAAGCCAGCACCGCAGTCCCAGGCACTACTCCCGGTGGCCGGCCACGGCGGCGAGCCGCAGCAGCCTTGATGGCGGAATTTCAGACTCATGCCGAGCAGAGGGCGCGTCGCGCGAACGCCCGCAAGAAGGAGCCCACCACCTAGGTGGCGCAGTCTCTCTCCCTTCCACCTACCGCGTTTCACACCACTCAGATCACCAGCTCAACTCCCTCGTCTGTCTGGTTTGCACTCATCTCTTCTCTACCACCATCGACTTTTCGAAGTGAGACCAGACAGAAGAGGGGGTGGTGGGTGGAAGGGAGGGCACGCCGGCCTCGATTATCCCACGTCTCATACGCTGCTATCCACCTTAATGCACGCTTTGTGCTGGAGTCAGGTTACTCCTTAATTTGTACCTCTACCCTCGGGCTGCGAGATGTCAACGACCGTTGAACAAGAAAGATTCCGCGTTAAGAACAGTATCGACAAACAATCCGACCACGACGAGTTTAGCACTAGCACGATGAGGGTAAAAACCGAAGGTACTTACGAGACGAAATGGAACGGAAGAATCGGAAGAACGAACGAGATCGACCCCTGCTGAGGCGGATGGACTTGTCAGAGGGGGCACGAATACAGAGCAGAATTGGGGCGGAAACAGCATCACCTGGCTCAAGCTTGTTCTAACAGACCAAGATTCGAGATATGTTACCGGCTGAGCACTCTTCTTTTTTTTTTTTTTTTTTTGTCTCTCTTTTTTCCTTGCGCTGAATTTTGCGAATTAGCTGAGCATAGCGATTGTGTTTTTATCATCATCATCATCATCATCATCATCATCATCATCATCAGAGGACGAGGATCATCATGCCATGGAAGGAGATATGGCTTTTACTGCCGCGTTGGGTTCTGGGAACTCGGGATTCGATCATACCTACCACTATTATCCTCTTTTCTCCCGCTCTTACTGATGTCTGTACTGGTATTCGGGATGGGTCGCTCGGCTGTAAGGATTGTAAGCTGGGAATGGAAACTGGCTGTTGGCCTTCGACCTGCGGATGTTTTTGTGTGTATGTGTGTGCTTGTGCTTGTACTATTAGATTGGGATCGGGATTGGGGATCATTGTCCTTCAGATGAAGAAAGCTGAAAATGAGGATACGGAGGCCAGCGGAATTGTGCTACTCGGGACTATGAGGAGATGCAATTCAATCGAGATTTGAAGATAAGAAGCTGTCACCAGTGACAGGTGGTTTCAAGCATGCTGCAAAGTGTAGTGTAGAGTGTAGCGACTAGCCCATCACATCACCATCAACCCACGTTTCCCTGCAGTCATGCCTCAGGCTCCAAGGCCACCAGCTTCCCCAGAAAAAGAATTTCCCTTCCGGGCTGCAAGCAACCAAACAACATCGGCCTCAACATCAAGAGACTGCATCTATCGCGTACTACTTCTGTTCCTGGGACATCCAAATATAATCAACACATCCCTCGGTCCCTGATTCTTCATTGTTCACACACCAAACACAGAGCAAAACCCCATACAGGAAGAAATCAATCTACAATGCCCCCGTCCACTCCCAACCCCCGCCCATCCAAACCCACTCCCACTCCCACTCCCACTCCCAGATCTCAATCGCAGCCCACCCCCAAACCCCAACCCCGACGCGTCGTCCTCCCCGATGCTCACTTCCGCCACACGCCTCTCGCCTCCCGAATCCCAGGAAGCAATACTTCCCCCCGAGTAGGCGGAGGCACCCGCCCCCCGCTCCCTGCGAAGGATATCCGGCAGACGAAGGAGTATAAAGCTGCCGCTAGGAAGTGAGTTCCCCCGCTCCCTGCTTGACTTGATTGGTTGGAGAGCTCTGCACGCGTATGCTTGGGGGTCGGGATATTTGGTCTCCCTGATGAGCATAAGCTTAGTTGCCTTACCCCCTCCCCCCTCCAATGCCCTTGCTCGGGAAAGCGTCGAAGCTATCGACCCGGACGGGTGGGAGTACAGTACTACCTATGCACCAGACAGCTTGGTCAGCAAGACTAACAAACCCCGAACCCCGTGGGTGCGAAACAGATGGCTCTCGACGATCGTGGCGCTGCCGGTTCTGATGTATACTTCTTATATCCTTTATGAGCGGAGTATGTCGTCCTTTCTGTTAGGATTGAGGTCTCCGGGAAAGGGGTGTACTGACTCGTGTCTAGCGGTTGGGAATCAGAAGCCGAAGCGGTTGGTTGGCGGCGATGGACGGGCGCAGCAGCAGGGGGGGTTGGATGAGCAGAGTCAAGGGACTAGCTTGGGGGATGGGCAGGGGAGGGAGTAGATTTTCGTTTGATCTTGGTGCTACGCATGTGGTTTGTCTGGTTGAGCCCTGGATGGTTTATAAGTTGTATATTACTCATCATCAAGCAAGGGTTGAGAACTGTATGTTTATGATGAAGTTCTATTGGGGTTCAAGACTGTATTTCTTGATGGTTGGTTTGCACGGTTGATAGGCATAGGCACAGGCATAGGCTAGCACCAGTATGCAGTCGGCGAAGGAAACATCAATCACCACTTACATCTAACCAAAGCAGACAGAAATCTGTTTTGGGCTACGGTCTAGTGACGCGGAGTTAATCCAAGTGCAGGAAGCCGAGTTACCCTTCACTCGACCTCATCCTCCGCATCATATGGCTCGTCTCTGGCTTCGGACACCGGGAATTCGGGCGCGGTCCATTGGATCACCCCGTCGTGGACGTTGCAGACATCAAGGATCAGGCCTCCGACCTCGGGAATGTCGTCGATGACCCCGATGAATGCAAAGGCCCTATGCGGGGCTTCGGTGGGAACGCTGACGTTGAGCGTCACCGCACAGTGCTCCCGCAGAATGCGGGGACGCTGTCCTCTTCCTCCTCGCCGACGACGACGACGCGGGGGCGGTTGCAGCGGACGCATGGGATAGGTCACCAGGGTCTCGTCGGTGCTCCGGGTGTAGATGGGCTCCACATCCGGGAGCAAGACCCCGCTGTCCCACGCGGACCGGCCGGTCGTTGTCTGCAGCGCGGCCATGCGTGCTTGATACTCTGCGTCGGCTTCCTCGGGGGTCCGCAGGAGGACATCTTCGGACGTCTGCAGGACCGAGTCGCGGTCACAGACGCCGTGGGGGTCCTCGGAGGGCCCCGTCACGAACACGGCCCGCGACTCGAAGGCCCCGCCGAACCACGCCTCGACAATCAGGTCCCCGGTCTCGCGCGCGACCCGCCCCAGAGAGAACTCCGCGGCCGCGGCGCTGACGCCCGGCGTGACCTCCCACTTGATCTGCCAGGTCTCGGCCAGCCAGCGGTTGAACTCGGTGGGGTGACTGCCGGCCCAGAGGGCGGCGTTCAGGGCCACCGCATAGCGGAAGTCCGGGTTGGGTGCCTGGTCGTACCAGCGAGTGTTGTCGGGCGTAGAGGAAGTGAGCGGGCGCTGATAGGGGGTGATGCAACGCGAGAGCTCGACCAGCCTCCGCATCAAAGATCGACACGGTGGCTGGAAGATCGCGCCGTCGACCAGGACAAAGCCCGCCACACGGTACGTCGGGTCGTTGATCCAGACGTTCCATCTAGTCACGAAGTCGACTTCGCTGGTCACGCAGACGAGTCGGGCCCAGGTGGCCAGGCGGGCGAGCACGGTTGGGTATTGTTGGACAAAACTATACCCGCCCGGGCAGATCAAGAAGAGTAACCGCCTTGAAGGGTTCTGCACGGCGTTGAGTCCGTGACGAACTGGCTGTTCCATGTTGGGTGAAACTTACGTTAACAAATAGGGTTGGAGTTGTTCAGTGGGTTTGTCGAGTGGATAAGGTACCGTGTGATCAGGACGATGAAGACTCATTTTGGGACTGTACAGCCGACATATTTATAGTCTCCGGAGCGACATAACACTCTTTCGCTTGGGAGGAGAGAGACACTGAATATCTCCGAGTTTCCATTGTGTTGATGTTGAGGAACGCGCGACGACGGCCATTTTTCGGTCGGATCGTGCGCATCTTCGTTGTCAATCTTGGACTTGGACCCCTTCAACTATGGCCTAGAAGCGGCAGGACGTTCAATCATCCAAATGAGCAGCCTAATGATACGAGTGATAGAGAATGAAAAGAAAAGCTCCGCTAGCAAGTTGTGGACAAGAGGTTCACGACGAGGAAGGCAAAATGACAATGAACAAGATGGAACTTACCGGATAAGCCCAATGGTTTTGTTCACTCAGAATGTTGCCGAAACTCTGGTGTCTGAACACCTTTACCACGTATGGCTAACGCTGCACTAGCTAAGCTGTATTAAGAAAGAAAATTGATTTGCTCACGGAGCCCAGGTAGCCCGCATTGCTACCAGCACAAGTAGTTTAGAGATAAATGGTTGACGAAAATGCATCAACATCAGGCAAAACATTGATCCCAGTTCCCACCAGATCTAGCAAAGCTCAATCCTCGCACAAAGTCATCCCGCCTGCATCGGCCTAGCTTATCAACCGTGCAGCCGTGCAGGGGAACCACGCGGTCATTGACTAGCACCCGCACAAGAGGCTCTGGCTGTGCTTTGCACTGCATCATCTCAACGTAGGCTCGTGCACCGAATGGCACGGTCCATGCCGCCGAGAACCCATCGGTCTCTTTCATCGACTCTACCTTCGTCTTGGACAAGGGTTTGGTGCCGTTGTACAGGCCCAAGGCGAAGAAGATAGGAATCATTCCGTTGTCGTGGGTGAAGTCCGCATAGAGGGTATAGTTCAAAGGGAACGTGGCCGGGCTCGAGTCCAGAGTGCGGTTGGTACTCGTCTCGTCATGGACCGGGGTATGTGTCAGACGAGCAATCAACTCGTTGGTGAAGCCCACCCCCCGGCTCGGGCCGAGAGGGTTTCCAGCACCGTATCCGTAGTACTTCTCCAAGGAACGGAGATAATTGTATTGCTCCCATTCCGCATGAGTAAAGAGGTCACAGAACGGGGAGAGCTGAGTCTCGGGCTTGGACTGTGCGATAGTATCGAAGGAGCACATATCCATAAGATAGACGACCTCTTTGGCCGTGAGGTTCGCTCCAGGGATGTTCTTCTCCAGCCGCTTCAAGATGGGTGGCGTAAAGAGGGCAGTGAAGTTGGCTACAACGTCGTCCCCCAGTTCGCTGTTCTCGAAGACCGTGCAGGTACTGGGATCCAGCGAGTTATTGGCGTTGGTGCTTTCGGAGATCACCACATTGACCAAGGGAGCAAGCTGACCGGGCAGGGCCAAGGTGTCATTGAGCTTCGTGTTTTGAAAGCCGTGAATGAACTTCTGGCCCGATTCAATCACCCGGCTTGACCCAGATGCACGAACGAAAGGAGTGCCGTCCCTCGCCAGAGAGTCATAGCGCCGGTAGAACTTGATTCCAGAGTCGACCATTTGCTGCTCCCCGAAGGAAGTCAGATCGTCCGACCCCAAGGTGTAGTTGTAGGTCTCCAGGAACGCATAATCCCCCTTGTAAGACGTCGCATTGGCCTGAATCTTTGCGATCACCTTGGCATATTTTGCGGACTTGGATGCAGTGGGATACCGTGCACCGTGGCGGGAGATCACTTGTGCGAAGGTGACGTGGCAGCCCTCCGGGATAGCAGGAGAGACGGACTCATCCTCAACCGAGAAGTAAGGGGAGTACTGGCCCCAGAGATGCGAAATCTCGGAGAAGCAATTATAGCCCCCGTTGACACTGTCGCAGGACGAGGAGTTCTGCTTGGAGGATCTAACCACCGGACCGGCGGACGCTCTATCAAGGTTGAAGGAGGCGGTGAGCACATGTATAGCAATTGGGGGAGTCAAGTTTCACATACCCTGAAAGGAGGTAGAGCGAGAGCAAAGCGGTAAAAAATCCCATCGTAACCGCAACCACAGTTTTTCTGTTCGTGAGAAACAACAATTGACGAGGTTTTCCCCCAGCTCGCTGGGGGTCTTCATATAGTCCCTTCATTGCGGCCGGAGAGCACCCATGGCTCTAAATGTGCGACACCGGTCGGAGCTAGAAAGCTAGCACGCGACACCGGTCGGAGCTAGAAAGCTAGCACACGACACTGGTAGCCCACGTGCGAGGATAGATTGAAATGTGAGGAGTGTTTAACTGCTGAGTGGGGATAGGAGTAGTGGAAACAGGAGATGGCTCGGAGCACAGTAACAGACTACTCTCGTACATCGGTTGAAGTACTCTTGTACTGTACGTAGTGAGAGGTGCGGGAGATGCCGTAGTACCGGAGAGAGAATACCGTGGGTGTGGATCATCTCTTTAATCTTCTTCTGTCCGGGGGCAGACCACGTGGGGGATTTCCCTTCTTCTGGTTGGGTAACGCGGCTGACTACGTAGTAGCTGCCTGAGGACCTCGATCGCTGGAATGCTGGAATCCTCAGGTGTCGACCAACTGCTACCGGGAAATCTCGAGAAATACCTTAGTTAACACCTACAGATGTACAAGACTCATACTGAATCTAGACGATAGGAGACGCCCTGGAAAATCAGGCTGTGTGCAATGCTACGATCTTAATTTCGATAGCCTTTGTCTGACCATCTGCAGCTCTCGTTAGTCGCTTCCATGCAAGCATGCTTTAGTGGTACGACGTTCCCACCCCAATCCATTGTTAAAATAGAGCGCCGTGTGATGAAGGTAGAAGTAGGGAGAAAGAACCTTTATATCATTCTTGCTCACAAGGCTCGAAGGTCATACTAGATTTATCTCTAGGAGTGCAAGAGCTGGCAGAGTCTGAGGTGCCACCACATCACACCAGGCGGACAGCCAGCGATATAGTGTTACATGTGCAATCCCAGCATAACCTACCAAAGGTCTTAGTAGTCCTCCCACGTGCAAAAAGAAAACACCCAAGAGAAGAACAAGCCCCGGAATGGTTGCAAAGGGGGATTTTAGACGTTCACTCCAATGTCAAGTCACATCCAGCACAAATACAACGAAGACAAGAGAAGTTTAAGGAAAAACAAATTGCCGCCTTTTCCATTGCTATCATCAAAGTTCTAAACCGTCCGGCATGTAAGCCATGTAAATATCTCTTTTTTGCACACTTCACTCCATCAAGAAGAAAAGAATGTTACTTCAAGTCATGACTCCTTCAACTTCTTTAAAAATATGAGGATTCCAGAATCTTATACAAGGAAATGTAGGCAGAAACACATAAGAAAGTGATTCACCTAACAGAAGCGAACGCCCTCGGAAAAACTGCCCAAGGTATATTGCATGAGGGACTGAGGGCATGCGGATGATGTCTCTGTGTCACCTCTCGCAGCCCAAAATGGGAGCATTAGGAGCCCTGTGTCCAGGCCCCAGAAGCGTGTGCTAACTCTCGAGGGGGTCTCTCCACGGGTACGATGCCCCGCTCTGCGTGCATCGTGGCGTAAGAAGCCGAAGAGGTAGCCCATGTGACAGGTGGTCGTGCCGTCGACAAGGGCATCATCTTCGAATCGGCGATGGAAGCCCTACCCGCTGCTGATCCATGTGCGGAGTCCAGGCTTTCGCGAGTTGCCTCGGGTCCGTGCCAAGCTGCCTTTCGATCTTGATCAGGAGCCGTGAGATAAGACGTACGGAACGCATGCGGGGATGTTGGCCTTGTAGGTATCTGCCCTGCAGGTACCAGGCGAGTATAATGGTCACGGAAGAAGTCTCGCTCGGAGCGGTAGAAGTCGCGCTCCTGGGTCAAAGCCCGAATCTCTTGTGTTTGTCTTTGTAGAGCCTCGGCTTGTTTCCTCATCTCGTCCTGCTGCGCAGTGATTTTCTGTTCCATTTGCATCTCGTTCCTCTTGCGATTGCGGAATCTTCTTGATGCGTCACTGTTAGCCTTCCGCTTCTCTGCCTGCTGCGACGAGCCTGATTTCGTATCGACGAAACACGGAATCATGCCCGCAGGTGGTGCCTCGGCCAACTCGTCCCCAGGCCGCGGTACGGCCATGGCAGGAGGTAGCCTACTCGCCGAATCTCCTGCCGTATATGACGTGTTTCCGAACGAAGGTGTCTGGTGTGGCATGGGAGTCGCTGCTATCGCCGGAGACGATTGACCAAACTGACTGTAAGTCGACACCGGTGTTGTTGGACTCGTTTCCTGGGAACTCGGATGCGGAGTGTGGTTGCCACTCGCTTGGCGGCTATGGAAAGTTGGAGTTGATTGCACCGAGACTGGGGCCAGGATTGAGGCTGAAGTCGGGTGAGGGGAGGTCGATACGGGGTGCCCTGGAACAGAGTCGATGAAATGGGGCGAGCTGGGACCTCTAGGGTACGAGCTCAGGCGTGATGTTTGGGTGAGTGGAAATTGGGCCGGTCCAGCCTTCAAGCTCAAGCTGCCCCCAAGAGGAGGGAACCGAGCTGATGGCGATGCAGGGGCTATAACCGGATGGCTTCTGACCGCGGGAGAGGAGGAAAGTCGCTTAGCCGGGTGGAGTGTTGGTGAGGGAAGATGCACCGTCGGCGAGGACGGGTGTCGATTGTGTGAAGATGGTGATGCAACATGACTTTCCCGACCGTTTTCTGGTTTGATACCCGGCGTCTTGGAGGGAGGATTAAGAATCGATTCCACGCCAATGGGACGAGACTGCCCAGTCGAATTCAATGCATAACCCAACGGGTCAGATGATTGCCAGGAGAAAGGTCGCGAACGAACATGATCTGAGCTATCCGAGTCATCGTCCAGGCGAGGCCTTTTCCGTTCAAGGGAACCGCGACTCTCAGACGCCCGAGCAGCGCCTATCGAGGGAGCAGAGACAGGGGGCGACATGTGCTTCAAATCTCTCAGTACCGATTGTTGAGATGATCCTGGGCATGGCGGGGCTCCTCCTCTCTCCAGATGAGCTGGAGATTGACGAAGAGGAGCCTGAGAGAGGGAGCCGGTTGGTTGGGCGAGAGGAAAGCCAGGCAGCGAATGATATTGGGAAGAAGAATGCACCGGACTGGAGTATGGAAGATTGGCCAACACACTGAGTCCTAGGGTAGCCACGGTGACGGAAAGGCTGATTAGGAGCCCACAAGAAGAGAAAAAGGAGGGAAGTATAGGCTGGGTTGGGTGGTTGAGAAAGGAACACGGGCAGCGGATGCGTGCGCAGTGGGAATTCTTATACACCCAAACCTTTCGGTTCTTGCTCGTATCCCGTCAGAATGATTGACAGCGTCAATAAACACTACAATAGATTCGGTGACCGGCAAGATTCACCCGACTGCCGCCAAATCTCGTTGAAATCACCAATAATTTATGATGTGAGAGAACAAGAAATTCACGTTGATTGAGAATAGATACCCAGCATCTGTATAGTGGAGCCGAGTTATCAGAGGCAAGGCACGATTGATAGAAGAGACAGAGAGAGAAGGTAAGTTTGTGATTTAGTCGACACCTCGGTCTCGGGCTTGGAGATGAAGTGAGGAAAGAAGAAGGAAGTACGAGTAAATTCAAATCACAAGGAGAACGCAAATGATAACGGTAGTGTTAGAGGTGGAGGAAGCGATAGTGATAGTAGGTAGGTCAGTAGGTCGGTAGGTAAGTAAGTAAGTAGGAAGGTAGGTAGGTAGTGAAGTGGGTATGGTACTAATCCTAAATATTTTTCTCTTATGGGATTGTTTTATTTTATCTGATTATTGCTAACGGAACGGATCTGCTTCCCAGCACAAGCATAAGTGAGCTGTTGACAGCAGAGAAAGAAGTACAATAATATTTCGGCGGTGTGAAACGGAAGGCGATGTTTGGTAGTGGATAATAAATGGGAAATCGAAATAAGAACAGCAGCAGCAGCAAGCGGGTGTGGGACCCATGGATTTAGTTAGTTTAATTAGTTTAAGAGAGAAAAAAAAGAGGAACCCAGAGGCATGGGTTGGGGAATGGGGAGGGGGGCGAGGATCTTGGGTCGACAATGAACAACAAGTATGTAAGACACTTTGCGTTAGACAAAAGATTATTTTAATCAAAAGAAAAAAAAATTGAATCGATTTAAATAGAAAAAGAAAAGAGGAGAAAACAAAAGAAAAGAAAAGAGATTATGGCATCACGCAAAGAGTGACGCACAGGCAGCTCACGCAGCTGGTAAGGGGGAGGAGAGAGAGAGAGAGAAAAATGACCATTCGAGGTGGATTTTCCATGACTGCAAGCCTAACTAGGTCGGTCTGTCCCTACTACTTACTTACCGACATACATACATACATACATACATACATACATACATACATACATACATACATACATACATACGTATATACAGCCTACATACAGCACCTTTATATTTTTACATCTTTTTTCTTTCCTACTCTTTTACCAAATCCTGTTCGGACTCAGGAGCCATGCATCTACTCGCGTGGATCTTGATTATCCACCGGACTAGCTCTACCTCAATCTTGGGTGAATTAGACTACAGTAACTTACTTCCTCGCGAATACTTAAGTCCCACGCCCAATTGAAGATCCATAAAAATAACCTATGGTGGATACCACGACACACAGGTACATACTTAGATATATACAGAGTACAATCAGCTCAGACAGCCAGACGTATTGTAAATGCATGCATAGATACCTGTCTGGGACTTTTGTCCAGTTCGGGTGCAGTTGCAACGATCTAGTCTTCATCCGTTAAAAGTACCTGTTACCAAAGAGGGAGGAGAAGGAGGAGAGCGCCATCGTGATGGGTCTCGGGGAAGACGGAAACCCTCCCTCGAAACTAAGCGGTAAAAGCTGTTCCAAATTAGGTGCTAAGTATTGATTGTCAGGTGGGAAACTTGGAATCGCAGAGACCATGAAGACAACAAAACTAAGAAAAAGTAATAAGAAAAAAAAAAAAAAAAAGGGTCTATCCAGGCCCCGAGGAGAACAGTATTTCCAAGAGCTTCCAGATTTGAACAAGACCCCAGGCCTACTCTATCAGTACACTACCTATGCTATTATAAGTTGCCAGTAACTCTCGGTCGACCTATCCTTTGTCTGGCCATGACATTATCACCCTCCGTGCTAGGTGATTCATTTTCTCATCACACAAACTATGCTAATTCATCTGGTTAAAACTAGGATGAATACCTAGGGGGCTTGGAATTGTAGTGGTTCTTTCAGAATCCTTGGCCTCTTATGAAGTCCTGTCAATCTTGGGAAAACGAAAAACCCTAATTGAGAGGAACAGTCCTACCTACCTAACTGACTCCATCGTTTACTAGTGAGATCACTAGAGGCGGCTAACCATAGGATTGGGGATTGGGGACATGCAGGTGAACCGGAAGCTTTTAGTATGGGCGCCGTCAATTTGGATCGGTGGAGGTCCCCGAGAGTACGTGCTTCCCCTAGACTAGCTCAGCAGCAGCTTGAGGAAGGGGACTTGCAAGATACCCGCTGGCTCAAGCTGTCGGTCGGGGTGGAACGAAGTACAGGGCAGGTACCGACCGAGCCTGTGGGATCGAGGTAGCAATCAAGCGGTAAGTAATGTATGTCAGTGTTGTACTGTAATATATATATCCGTACGACCGTTTCACATACTGCATGCCGCCTGTATTATAGCGGTAATCCTGAACATCTGCCGGTTGCCACTGACCGCCTGGGGGAGCACTGAGAAGGTCGACCCATTGGCAATCAACTAACTTACAGAATGGCCCTCGGAAGGATTTTGTCTTTGGCATCCTGCCTGCCTCACGACGATCTCTGGACCTGTTCGTTGGTGTGCGAGCCGAATCAGTTGCGATGATGGCATTCTGCCTGGCCCCCACTGAGATGGCTAATACCCTCAGAGAGTTTGCTGATGTCAATTGTCTCGTTCACCCCCATTATTCCGGCCTCCATTGGTGATTTTGAGGATGGGGTGCAAACATGTCTCTAATAAATTTATTGGAAGAACACGATACGGATAATCAGATTAGGCAAGGTTGGCCATGTCCAAGCGATGAAGACAGAGTGTACAGTACTGCCGGATTGGACAGGCCGCTGAGCTGGGAAGAAGCTGATATAGATATATTATACAGACACTCGGCACATATTCATATTAAAGAGGAAGAGAACTTGGTACTTGCGGGAGAAGGGTACATGCCTTCTGGGGCTCGAAGGCCTCGATTGATATCCATGACTACTACCGACTGAATGGCTATATTATATTGATTGATTGATTGACTGATTGACCGTACCGCGATAACCAGCAACCAGGATAAATGGGACAGGCGCGCGATCATCCGTCCATGTCTATCTATTTCCTGAGTGAGGTAAGTTATCTACCTATCAACCTCAAACATGACGGAGTAGGGAAAAGCCATCTGCCTCAACCTGCCAAAGAAAGCTAAAACAAGCCCGTCGTCTAGTTTGGAGCGGCAAATGGGGCGGACGAGCACACTTTCTTCCATTCAGGTGGCAGATTTGTCCCGAATCACGATGTTTTGCATGCATGCGGGAAGAAAACATGCTTTCAAGTTTCAATCACCTCTCAATCCTTCCTTCTGGGCACCGGGTCTAGTTCCACCCCCGGCCCCCCCTCCCTCAGTCCCCAATCAGTTCCCAATCAGTCAATCAGTCCTCGATCTTGAGTCCCCCTTCCCCCAACATTTGCCTTCCCCTCATCTCTTCCCGCCAGTGCGGATGTCAGCCGGAGAAGGGCCGGTACTCAATAGCTCAAACTCAAACTAAAAAATACATGAAAGACTCTATCATCTGCGGATAGTCACCAGAACTACGATGTCATCTGCTGATCCCCGTTGTTCACCCGGCCAACTGTCTTGAGTTAAACTCGCGGACCGCATCCTTGGCTAGCCGTGTGACTGGAATAGTTATATCCATGTTGGATGATGGCTCAGCTTTGGCTAGCACCAAACACGAGTCGATTGGGCTGAGCTCGATACTAGGATCGGGATTGGTCAGAAACCTTGAATGGGAAAGTCTCGTCCGTTCAGGTTGATTGCACGCAGGCAGCAGAGCAGACAGGTCAACAAGCCTCTCGGGTCATCCCTCTGGGGCCGACTTCTGAGTGGTCCACGAAGAGGACTATTGTTGTATTCCTTCCGGCACCACTGCTGCTCAGTTCCTCTAATATTCGCACGGGAGGCAGGAGTACGTCTATGGAATCGGGCCAAAGCGAAGAGGAGGCGGCCAGGACTCAGAGTGTTTCAGCTACGTCATTGGGCATCAATCACAGATCATGAAGCTTCTAAAGATCGCAAGGCAATGCTGCCCTTGATTCCTCCATCTACTCTATGAGAAAGAAATAAGGTACCCCGGCCTGGCCGTGACCCAACCAACTTGATCCGTGGTACGGGAAGTTATAATTCTACAATCCTATTATACTTATATCATCTTACGTTGACCGGGGAGACGATCCCCAAGCTACGGATGTCAATCATTTCAACACAGCCCACTGCGGGTCGCATCGACACCAAGAGCGAACTAGATACGCCGAGTGTGGTTGCTAAGCTCTTGATAATATTGGACGGCCAACAGGCCGGTCAGCCATCTGCAAACGGGATCTCTCACAGGCGCACCTGGGCTTAGGCATTGCCATACAGTTTGCATTAAGACGGATCAACCACGACACTTCCGACAGCCAGTAGGCAACAATGCATAAAGTACCCTGTGTGTAACGTCCGAATCTTGTTTGAAAGGTAACAAGAGCAACAAGAAAGAGAGCTCTAGATCTGTCAACCGTATGCCGGCAAGGATCGATGAGCTGCTTCTGCAGAAAAAAACAACAACAAATTACTTGCAGAAAGCCCGAGGTGTTCCGCGGGGACCTGACTGGCTAGAACCCCGTCAGAGAATATGAACTGTTGATCAATCAGGTTGTCCAATTGCTTCTTTTTTGCCAGAAAAGGAAAAACAAATATTGGATTTTTGGTGCGACCCTACTGGTCTATCAAATAGGTGCCGTCGCATAGTCGGCGTATCGAGCTTGTAGACGCCAACGAAGGACCGGACAGACGCTATCAGCCATTTTTCCGGGCGCAATCTCCAAAATCTCATCACTCATTCATTCTGTGGGACGACATCAGACAGGATCAAATGCACAAGGTCCTTCATATACAGGCGAGTGGGTCCTCGTGGTTCGTTTGCTTTTGCTTATTTAATTTCTGGCAGTTTTGGTCCGATGACGAAGACCAAGGAAGAACGAGGTCTACTTCTTCCTTCTGGAAGCACCAGACCACTTAGTGGTCGTAAAGGGATTGACTAGTACCCAGTAGTTACTGCGGATCACCACGAGTAGGCTAGGTGCCCTAGGTTCTGGGTCCGTTCCGGCGCCATGGGAGGTCGTTGAGGTTCAGCCAGCCTCAAGGTTGAGCCTTGATCTTTCACTTCTAGGATCCCAAACTCTCGATACTCCCAAGCGCTTGCTTGACGAATGGAAGGTTTGTGATAAACTACCTAATCACTGAACGCACCTCATCATTCGCAAGTATCTATAGGCGGGAAGTGGAGACCAGAAATTCCGGACTGATGGCGATTCATCCGTTTGCTTCAGGTCGACGCTGCTGGCACCGGAGACCTTCTCCGCCCCCTCGTCCTTTTGTCGTCTGCAAGCTACCTTGAAGTGGATGCCAGTCTGGTGCATTCGTGTTTCCTGGCTGCTTCCCGCCAATCTTCTGAGCACTTCTGAGCACTACTGAGCACATTTGTGGAGTGGGCTGTTCGATCGGAGAACGTGTGCCACGAGAAACATGGCGGATAGGTGAGTAATGTAATTACCTAGTCTAGTCTATGCAGATGGGATCACTTGGCGGGATTGGAAAAGGGAGGGTGGAGCCTGATCGGAACGGGCTTCGAAGTGGTCCTGAAATATGAAGAGACGGTGAGAAGGTCTTCTCGAATGGAGTAATAAGAAACAGCGAACAAACAAACAAACAAATATAAGCTTGGATATTTAAATTACTGGCTCTCTCATGACTCTAAGTTGGGTGTCCGCAGTTTACTAGTAATTCTTTTTATACAAAGCATGGTCTATCTCAAGTCAAAATTCAGTTGTCAATGGCTTTGTTTTGAGCATATTTACTTTTTCTTTGTCTCCCTTTTTTGGTTTTTTTTTTTTGCTTTGCTGATTCTTTCTTCCTCCTATTCGCGTGCGCGTTGGGGCTGCCGTTCCCCGCTAATGCCGCTTATCACTTGAGAATGATCGAGAAGACCATCGGACCAGCAGTGCCCACAAGCCAGGAAAAGTCCATCGCTATTGCATTTCCTATCTCGGCTGTGGTCCGCCGCTAAGTGAGACTAGATGAAGATTCCCAGTGGAATGGCCTTAGCTTACGGAGTCTGAGTAGTTTGACTGAAGCCTACATCCTACGGAGTCTGCATCGCAGGTCTCCACTTTATTTGTGCATGGTCTGTTAGTGCACATCGAACTCGGGCCCTGCAGCTGTGAAAATTACGAGTATTTGTTTTGGCCGGGTGCGTACCCTTCCTTTCTCTCTCTCTGAGGGGCTTATGACAGCGTGCTAAATGTACAGCATATTGTCGGTTAGCATGTATACACAGCCAGGGTACAGTCATTCTCTTAATAATCTCATACCTTCAGGCAAACACCGCTAGATCCACAGACCCAACACAACTCCGACCTATAGCTTCCTCTAAGTGCAGCCGCGGAAGGTCGTCGTGAGAGGCAACTTACTCTAGCTTTCGTCATCCCCGGTTCGCTCGATGTGCTATCATCCATCCGCTGCACCTTTCTTCGCAATGGCTCGCAGTAGTGGAATTTACTTATGCTTCATGGTCATGCTGGCCCGGTTGAGGAAAGTAACTAATCATGCTCGATGGTTGACAATGGGATTGATTCTTGAACTCATCTGCAGGAAAAAGGGCTAGCCCCGTCTAGATCCTAAGGTGGCACTGCCGTAGCGTGCATTTTCTGTGCTGCACATGCATGCAATAACATTCACACCACCTGTTGGTTTCCTCCCGCTCGATGCTCAGGGCTCCCGATTAACTTTGGGAGTTGGGGAGAAGGGGAGCTCGGGGAACTGGGAATTGCTTCCAATTCGGAGAGGAGATCCAGAGTGACGCATAGATGATTCTCCCTCTGGTTCACCGTGATTGCTGGGTTGTGGTTCTCACTCCCGGGGGCTGCACGCTTCGATCCGTCGTTGTCGGCGACCTCTTGGGAGTACGCATTGAACGCGATGTCTGCGTATACCTGCATACTACTAGCTACATATGGAGAAGCAAGCACATCGATGGGGCTCTTTTTTCCGTGATTGTATTTATTAGGTGCCTCTGCTGGCCTGTCTTGTTGATTCTTAGTCGCGGGCGCGATTGAGCCGGGCGATATAGATTCAGGTTTGAACAGGACTCCGTACTGTACTTCTTATCGGTAAAGGGCCCATATCTTGTTCCCAAGAGACAAGAATTGTAAGTTCTCGAATCTGTTCATTAGTTTGGAATGCTGCATGTATGATACCATGTCATGTGGTCATTTGTACTCTACGTAGGACTGTTAAATCCCGAATGTACTGAGGCGTGAGGCATGATAGTCAAAAGGCCTATGAAATGGAACAATGTTGGAAAATAGAAGTACCTATAGTAACTCGAAAGGGAAGTCGCGATAGCCGTCGGACACGGTAAGTAAGTGCTTTGGACATCAATCCCTTCTACGCACTCCAACTAGGCCTGCTAGAAATCCTCATGAGTTGATTGACCTCACTTACTGACTGAAGGAGTGGGTCTGCTGACTTTCTTCCACCCTCCGAGATCTCTTTCTTCCCTCTTCTTCTTCTTCTGCTGCTGCTGCTGCCCCACCCCTTGCATTTACTCCCCCGCATGGAGACGACAACAACAATACTCAAACAGCATTGTTCATTGATTCCGTGCCTGTGAAAAAGTGTACATGCATCCTGCACAAGTCCTTCCCCGTTCTATTCTCGGACTCCGTATGCATTTAACTGATATATTCTGATCAGGCTGTGTGTCTCACACAGTTCGTTCTTCCCATCGCAGCCAGACGTCATTTCCCGTTCTCCGTCCGAGTCGAGTAGGGTCCGTTGGTGACTGCTTGCTTGAACGCTTCGAACCAGGACAATCTACAGGTGCCTTCCATGCTCGCTCTGCTACACAACATGGCTCTTTATATGCGGGTTCGACAGACGAGTTCGCGTCTCCATTGTGGCCTTTAAGGAGGTCACTGGGTCTAAAAGCCTACACACAGAGCAACTCCCCATCAAAGTATAGTTCTTTATACAACTGTTTGGATAATAGTTTATCACCATGAGATCAGTCCTGGAAGCGAAACTGATTCTTAGGCTTTCCTCTGATCCCGACATCCACACGATAAAGCCGCCCCCCATATCGGATAGAGTTAGGAAGCTGCTCATCGTTCACATCATCCTTGGCAGTTGTGATAAAGAGCTCGGTCCCGACAAATGTCGGACAGGTAATGTTTCGTGTAGGCAGGATCACCTCGCCAATCACTTTTCCCTCCGGTGAGATGCGTATGATCTTCCCGCCGCCATATATGGCACTCCAGAGGCAGCCTTCCTCATCGATGGCAAATCCATCGGGCTCCTTGGGCTCCCCAATGTCAAAGTGAACCCTGCGGTTGCTGATCGCTCCGGTCTTCGCATCAAAGTCGAAGGCGAAAATCTTACCAGTAGGGGAGTCGGTCAGGTACATGGTGTCATCCGCAAGGTTCCAGCCAATCCCGTTGGGGATCGTCAGCTGTTCAACCATTCGATGGAGTTTCAAGTCAGGATCTAGCCGGAACAGTGCCCCTTCGTTGGTAGGCTTCTGGACCTTGGGGTCATTCATGGCCCCGGCCCAGAATCGCCCGTGGCTGT